GCTCGGCTGCGGCCGGCGGGGCGGGGCCGCGGCAGCGGGCGTTTGGCGGCCTCGCACGGCGTGGGCGCTCGAGCCAGGGTGCCCGGCGAGGTCCCTGTCCCGCGGGTTCCCCACTGCCTCAAGTGCGTGTCTAAATTGTTGGAAGCGGCGCCGTGTTCCTTCGCCGTGTCCTTGGGCGCTCCTGTCAGAGTGGCAGGAAAGCACGTTAGCAGGGCAACGTCCTTTCATATTCCTCGCGTAGGGCCGAGTGCCACGCGCCAGGATGACAGGTGGGGGACTACCCCGCAAAGACATGGCGGTCTACCCAACTCCGGCGCCCCGCAAAAGCATGGCCGCCGCGCGCCGCGTTTCCCTCCGTGGGCGCCGTTACCGCGCATGCGCCATGACGCCCCACCCCGGCGGGGCCGCCGCTGCCGAGGGCGCGGGCGCGCGAGCCGGCCGTTGAGGAGATGCTCCCGGCGTGCTCCGCGCCAGCATGGCGGCTGCTTTCGCGGGGGTGACTTCGGTCGTCGCTTTCTGCCGTTAGCCGCCGGTACTCCTTTCTCTTCCGCAAGCTTGGAGCTCGTGGCGGGAGCCGGGTCAAGGGAGGGTGTGGCTGCGACGTTGAGCGGAGCCCACGGGGACCGGGGCTGGCCGCTGGCGGGAGAAGATGGCTGAGGGCGAGCGGCAGCCGCCCCCAGGTAGGGCTGGCGGGCCAGGGCCAGGGCGGTGTTGGTGCCGGCGTGGGGGCGGGGAAGGGATGTGGGGCTTGGAGCGGAGCCTCGGGTCCCGGTGGGCTCCGGAGAGGAGCAGGAGCTGCCGGGCCTCAGGAAGAGGCCCTGGGGCATGGGGGAAGGGCGTGAGCCGAGGCTGCGGCGCGCGAGCCGGGGGAGGGCTGCAGCCGGGGCGCGGAGAGAGAGCCCAGGCCCGAGGTCGGGATTACAGCGGGGACCGTTCTCACATTTGGACAGCGCGTGAAGCTCCTGGCCCGATGGGACAGTTGCCAGCGGTGGGGGCGAAAGGGATGCAGGCCTTTTTCACTGGACCTTGGCGGGATGGGTCTGGGCTTGCCTTGCCCTGTTTCAGCCTCCTCCGCACCTCCGCCCTCCTCCTCGCTCAGTCCGTCTCGGAGGCCGGACTCTGGGATTTCAGTGGCTGAGAGTTTATGGGGAGAAACTGCCCTTGGGCAGTTAACCATTAATTTTAAAAGGATGATTTTGCAAGGAGATGAGTGTCTGGCGTCCCCGTCTGTAACTTTTGTTTACGCCGTGGCCTCTTTTTTCCTTGGGCTCAGATATCTGGGAAGGAGACACCAGGGGAGGATGCTACACAGATCCCTTTCTTGGAGAAGAACGCTGCTTGCTTAAGGAGAACTGGACATAGATAACGTTGAAAATTCTCACAGGAATAAATAGGTTGGCCAAGCATAGCTAATGTTTTGAAAACATTTGATATTTCTTCTGCCCTGCGTCTCAGAAGGGAGAAAATTTGAAAATCAGAAGAGGTATCCCTACTATGCCCCCCTCCACCTCCCAGTGAGGAGGAAAGGGCTGAGTTTGGTCTGTTAGGGAATCCGAAAGCCAACAATTAGTCTGTACAGAACCTCGGCGCTTGGGCCTTTGGCGTTGTGACGATGCCCTCGGGAGCCGTGAGATACAAAGCGGCCAGTCTTATCGGTGAATGTGAGTGCCTATGGATATGAATGAGCAAATCTAGGTGCTGAAAGCCGAAGGCTTGCAGGGTTACCTGTGGCACCTGCAGAGATCCATGTGGCCCCCAGAGGTGGCTCTAAAGTTTGAAACGACTTTTTGGATCAGTGGAAAGAAGTTCTGATTCCACAGTACAGTGGTAAAAACCTCAGATTTTGGCTGGCAAGTCACAGTTCCTCAGTTTGTCTTTTTTTTTTTTTTTTTTGCGGAACCGGGGATTGAGCCCAGGCCCTTGAGCTTGCCAGGGAAGCGCTTATTCCACTGAGCCATCTTTCTGGCCCTCTTATTTTGTTTTTTGACATAGGGTCTTGTTAATATAGTTCAGGCTGACCTTGAACACCTATGTAGTCCAGGCTAGCCTTGAACCCCAGTGGACCTTCTTCCTCAGTCTCCCAGTGCTGGGATTACAGGTGTGCACCACCACGCCCAGCAGTCATCTTTTAAGATGAAGCTACTTTCTTCATGGGTTTGTAGTATGTTTTCCAGCAGAAGATGAGAACGTGTGGGACACAGTGGGTAGGCACTGAACACTGGCTGTTCTTGGCTTGGTCCATATTGAACATGTACACCTGTTTCCAGAGGTAGATGACAATCCAGGGTGCACTGGGGTTTTATTATTTTTTAGGAATGTCTTTAAAACTCTAGATACTGTTTTATGCTGGGAGGTTAGGGGTTCCTTTGTCAGAGACAGGAGATTAAAGGCTGCAGAGACCAGGCTCAACTTCCATTTCTCACAGTCCTGGCTTTGAAACCTTTCTTTTCTTTTTTGGCCCAGGTTTGATCCCAGCACTTGGTAGAATGAGGCAGGAGAATCACTGTGCGTTTGAGGCCAGCCTGGGCTATGTAGTGAGATCCTATCTCCAACAAAGGAAACAAAAAAAGAAATTTATTTATTTTTTGACTTGAGGGCTGTGTATTCTTGCAGCCTGTGTACTTTTGGGCAGTGTTTTTGCAAAGCTTCCTGTGAGGTAGCCATGGCCTTGGCGGAGAGGCTGTCCTGCCTGTGCAATGTCTGGGGGGCTGTTCTTTGTGGGAGCAATTCCAGGCTGGGGGTGTTCCCAGAGATCATTTTGCAGGTTGATTATTTGGAATGTGGAACACATTTCCCCATAAAAACTATGTGGTTGGATTGCCAGCCTGGCGTGCAAAGCTCATTATTTAGCATCTTCCTAAAGTAGCAATTTTCTAATAGTAGGGGCCTCAGTTATGGGCCCAGTGCACAAGCTTGCAAGGGCAGAGGAAGACGACTTTGGGCTCTTTTGTGGCCCTGGTTTGACTTTCTAGTTAGAGTCTCCAGATTTCTTGGCACTTTTTGTCTCTTCAGATCCCTCCAGGCAGGCTCTCACCAACAAATGTCACATGTTCCAGAACCTTCCAACTCCTCTGTCCCTTTTTCTCCATGCAGCTGACATCAGCTGGGTTTTGGGAAGAAGGCAGTGCCAGATGAATTTATGTTCTGCTGAGCCCTTCATGCTTCTAGAGAATTTAAAATAAAATTCTTTTTTTTCTGAGACAGGGTCTTGCTGTGCAGTTCAGGCTAGCTTTGAGCTCTTTTTATTTTTTATTTTTTTATTTTTTTGAGACAGGGCGTCACTATGTAGTTCAGGCTGGCCTTGAGCTCATTTTTTAGCCCAGGCTTGTCTCAAACGATCCTCTTGCTTCAGCCTCCCAAGTACTAGGATTACAGGCATTGTACCGCCATGCCTGGCTTTGAACTCATTATGTAGCTCAGGCTGGCTTTCACTGATGGTGTTTCTCCTGCCTCAGCCCCTTAAGTGTTGAGATTATAGGCATGTGCCACCATGCCTGGCTAAAAATTTACATTGTTAGAGGAAATGCTGGCCAGGCATGGTGACTCACCCTGTAATCCCAGCACTGAGGAGGCTGAAGCAAGAGAATCACCTTAACTTTGAGGCCAGCTTGAACTACATAACAAGACCTTTTCTCAAAAAAAAGAGAGAGAAAGGAGGAGAAAAAGAAAAAAAGGCATACTAATCTATGTCACTTGTGACATCTCTACTTGTGGATGGAGGCCCACAAACTCCCTGACCCAAACCATTTGGTGACCAGGTATGTTTTAGAATTCAGAGTTGAGCATGTTTTGGAAAATATCACCCCATAATCAAAATTATTTCAGCAAAACATATACTTTGACTAAGTGGTTTATATCACGCCTGTAAATGTCCTCTGTCACTTTAAGTCTGATTGTAGATGAGCTTATGGTAAGTTTTTTAAAAGCTACTTTGGGTTTCAGAGCTTTTTGGATTTGGGAATTAACAGGTAAAGGATCGGAGTTTGTATCTCCAGCTGTCACAAAGTGGAGAGAGTTCTTTGATGTGAGAACGATGTTTTAGTTTTGGTGTAAAGTTGGTCTCTAGGTCAAACATTAAACTGTGTACTTTTTCTTCAACTTCTGGAAATACAGAAATTCTATTTAAAATTGTGCTCCCTTTATATAAAAGCACTATATGCTTGTTCTTGGGGTTTTTTTTTGTGTGTGTGTGGAACTGGGGATTAAACTCAGGCCCTTGTGCTTGCCTATTCTACTGAGCCAACTCCCGATTGAGAGCGTGGTGGCCTGCACCTGTAATCCTAGCTCTTGGGAGGCTGTAAACAGGCAGATCACTACAAGTCTGATCTAGTAGTGAGACCCTTAACACCCTGTAGACCCTTCCCTTAAAAAAAAGTGAAGTGTGGGGGAAAAAAGTAGTATGTGCCTCAGGAAGTGGGTGCCAAGCAGGGTGGCACAAGCCTGAAATTCCAGCTACTCTGAAGCCTAAGACAGGAGCATCGCAAGTTCAAGGACAGCCTGAGTGGCTTAGCCTCCTTACAAACACTCCTTAGAGATGAACATAAGCAGCTCTGTTGTGTGAACTGTTAAGTTTTTCCAGGGTGTATACTAATATGTATGTAAGTTATTTCTAGTAGACTATAGTTGTTTTGCTAATAACGAGGTGCTACATTGATGATACAGAGCAGTTTTTTTGTTTTGAATATCTGGGTTGTCTTTTCTGGGTCTGACGTAGAGGCTTTATATGGTTGTATTATTTATCTGTCCCCTTATTGACTATTGTTTGGGTTGTTTCTCTTTGTTTTCCATGGGGCGAGCACCCTGTGTGTGTTTCTGTGAGTGCATCTGAAGGTAGATGCTGTAAGCTGAGCTTCTGGCCCCGTGGGTCCTACGTGCAGTTTCTCCCCAGGGTGGTCCTGAGTTGCCCCTTTTCTGGCTCCACCAAGTAACGCTTCCATGGAGGCGACCGACACTTTCTGTTTTCCCCTCCCAAATCAGTGTCAGATGATTTTAAGCTGCCAGCCTTTTCTGGACAGATCACATGCACTTCACTTGTCTTTGCTCCTTCAGGAGATAGATGGTAGTGTTGTCCAATCCTGGGTACAGTGTACAAGGGAGGCAGGAAGCCAGTGGGCCTGGCTGGTGGCATCACTCTGTCCTGAGGACGAGGCTGGTCTTGCTAGGCCTCAGGTGTTAGAGTCTTGGCTTACAAGTGAGGGGGATCTTTTCTCCTGGAAGCAGATCTAGGGATGGAGGCAGGCAAGGGAAAGGGGAAATAGAAAAGGACTAAGATGCCACAGTGGAGGTCCAATTCCCCTTGATGAATATATTTGTTATGAATCACAGATACGTACCAAGGGGCTGGGGAGTTGGCTCAGTTGAATAAGTGCTTGCCTGGCAAGCACAAGGGCCTGAGTTCAACCCCTAGTTCCGCCAAAAAGAAACAAAAAACAAATATGTACCAGTACAAGAAGTGTTATAAAGGAAAGGGGGAGTGAGCAAAAGGGGAGTGGGCCAGGGGAGGGCTTCTATTTCCTTGGCTGCCTTCTTATTTTCTTTTTCAAGAGTCTTCAGAGGAGACTCCTCCAGCCACACAGAACTTCATCATTCCAAAGAAAGAGATCCACACAGTTCCGGACATGGGCAAATGGAAGCGTTCTCAGGTACTGGGGTCTGCAGTGTAGAATCAGAACCAGGTAGAGGACCTTTTCACCTGTGTTTTTCTCAGCATGATCAGGCACTGGGCTTCCGGGCTGGCTCTCTTGGCACCTGAGTTACCAGAACAGGGGAGTTGGCTGTCCTTTCTTGGGGTGGCCCTCCAGGGTTTCTCAATTACTCTTGTTGCTGGGACAAATATCCGACACTCAAAATGAAGGAAGGAAAGGTTTACTTAGCTCACAGTCACTAGAGGTTTCAGTCCATACTCAGCTGGCTCCAAGGCAGACTGGCACATGGCAGAGGGCTGCAGGTCATGGCAGTGGAAGGCAGCAAAACAGTAAGAGCGAAAGGGAGAGGTAACAGCAACAATGGCAATGGAGAGCAAGTTTCTTTCTCTGTCTTTCTTGTGTTACATTCAGGCTCTGTGCCCCAGGCAGGGTATAGCACTCAGACCCATAATCCCAGCAGTCCTCAGTCCCATAATCCCAGGAGTACTCAGACCCATAATACCACCCTTGGATCATGAGTTAATCACAAACTGTAGAACTACACCTCAATGACTGCATGAGGCTGTGGGGGGACAAATACACACAAACCATAACATTCTGCCCCTGGACCCCCAAAGACTCGTGCACATCCCTTTATGCAAAAGACATTTTAGTCCATCTCTAGGAGTTGCCAGAGTCCCAACAGTTTCAGCATTGCTGAAAAGTCCACGTCCCAAGTCTCCTCTAAGATCTAAGGCAAACTCTTAGCTGTGAGCCCCTGTACAAAAGAAAAACACTTCCAATATTCAAAGGGACCAGATAAGCATTACCATTCCAAAAGTTGTAAACAGCAGGGGAATACAAAGCACTGGGACCAATCCAAGTCTAAAATCCAGCAGGGCAAAGATTAAATCCTGTAGTTTCAAGAGGAATATCCAAAGCAATCTGTGGCAAATTGTGAGTTCCGTGTGGCTCCACCCCATGGCACTTCTGGTGGTGGTAGCTCCCATGACTTCTCTGGCAGGCATTTTGCTCCCTCCTTGCAGCTTCCCTTAGATGATTCACGTTCCTGGCTTTTCCAGACTTCTGAGGTCGCCACTGCACATTAAGTTTCTCATTCTCTGCTTCACACACTGCCCTCTCAGGGACGCACTGCCTGGCCTCCCAGGCCTTCTCAAATTGAGGTGGAAGCCTTCTTAACCTCACAACTCTTGCATTCTGCATGGACCTAAAACCAATGCCAAGTGGATGATGCCAAGGTCTGCTGCCAGCTGGAGCAATAGCCAGGCTTTCTTCTCTCTTGGCTGTAGGGGTCAAGTGCCTGAATCACTGAACACTGACCCTGATTCCGAGGAATAAATTCTCCATTCTGCCCACTATTCTGGAACCTGGTGTGGCTGCCACCATGTGCTCTGAGCCTTTCCCCTCACGGCAAAGTCCCCTCTTTCTTGCAATTCTGAGGCTGCAAAGGGTGGAGACCTGCTGCCTTCAGTGGTGCCTTCAGGTCATGATTCTCTTCTTGGCAATGGAGATCCTCTCAGCTCTATCTTTGCATTTCACAGCTTTATGGAAGCTTCCTTTCTGGCCAAACTTACAACATTTTATTTTATTTTATTTTATTTTATTTATTTATTTATTTATTTATTTTTTACAGAACCGGGGACTGAACTCAGGCCCTTATGCTTGCAGGGAAGCGCTTATTCCACTGAGCCATCTCCCTGGCCCAACATTTTAAATCGTCCTGCTGGGCTCTTTGCTCTTTTTTTTTTTAATTTTTATTTATTTATTTATGTGTGTGTGGGGGGGCAGCTCAGCCCACCAGGGGGCAGGGCTGGCTGGCATGTGGTGCTGGGGGATCGAACCGCAGTCCCTGTGTGCCTTGCTAAGCTTGTTCCAAGTAGGTGCTTTAGACCACTGAGCCATCTCACCAGCCCGCTCTTTGCTCTTGATTCGCAACATAAATCTGGCTAAATTTATGTTTAGGGGGTGGGGCTGGCTGGCATGTGGTGCTGGGGGATCGAACCGCGGTCCCTGTGCTTTGCCAAGCTTGTTCCAAGTAGGTGCTTTAGACCACTGAACCATCTCTCCAGCCCCAAATAAATACATTTTAAAAAAATACAAATCATCTGGAGTCCAACAACCAAAGTAGTCCTTTCTCTGGCAGCAGAAACCTCCCCAGCCTGTTTTTTATAGGCAGAATTTCTATCAGCCTTCTGGTCTGAGCACTGACCATAATCTCCCATGCAGAACAGCCGAAGCTATTCCAGCGCTTCTCTTATAGGTGCTATCTCTGAACCTTTTCTATCTTCCCATAAGCCATTCCCAAAAGCTTGTGATCCACATGGTCAGGGAACCGCGGCAACAACCCTACTCTTCTATACCCAGCCTGGGGCAGATAGCCTGAATGTAACTTAACAGAGAGACAGACTTGCTCTCCGTTGCCACTGTTGCTGTTACTTCTCCCTTTTGTTCTTGTGGTTTTGCTGCCTTCCACTGCCATAACCTGCTGCCCTTTGCCATGTGCCACTCTGCCTTGGAGCCAGCTGAGTATGGACTGAAGCCTCCAGTAACTGTGAGCTAAATAAACCTTTCCTTCCTTCATTTTGAGGGTTGGATATTTGTCCCAGCAATGAGACAAGAATGACTGAGATACAGGGCTTCTGGGCTGGGGTTCTGGTCACCCTGGAAAGCCCACGCTGGTTCTCTTATCCCCGCCCCTTGGTTATTGTTCTGACTGGAGGTGAGTGTCCCAGATAATGAGTGGGCACTGCTCTCTGGCCGCAGTAAGGGTGGATGTGGGAACCAGGGTACTAGAGGGAGCAGAGCCCATCTGGGCATGTTGGCTAAGCCGTGACTTAAGTGACCCAAATACTTAGCAGATTCTACATGGGTGTCTGTTGTGCTTGTGGGGAGCCCAGGTGCCCAGCCTCCAAGTTTGGACTTCACCAGGGTTAGGAATAGCATGAGCCTCCCTCTTTCACAAGCTTGCCCTCTGAGTACTCTTCTGGTTCTTCATGGGATAAAAACCTTAGTCCATTAGCTGCTCTACAGGCCTGGTTGGGGTCCTTTCATCATCTTGGTTGCTCTACTTCTGAGTTTCTCAAGCTCGGCACCAGAGACATTGTGAGGCAGATGTTTCTTGCTGGAGAGGGCTGTCCTGTGCCTGGGGACATCTCCCCTGGCGCTACCCAGCAGATGAGAGCAGTACTCCTTTCCCCAGTTGTTGCTGCCAAAAATATCTCTAGGCGTTGTCAGTTACCCTCTGGGAGCCATTTCACCTTGAACCTCTTGTTCATCTGAACTTAAAGCTGGCTCTTGTATCCTAGTATGCTCTGTGTGGCGTTTTGCCTGGGCTGAGGAGAAGCCAGGGAGGACCCATGTGGTCTGCTGGAGGATCCTATTGTAGGACTGCTCTGTTCTAGAAACCATGCTGCTGCTCACGGTTAGTCCCAGGTTTGGAGGAGGAGGAAGGAGAAAGCAAGAAGGAATAGGAATGAAGGCGAAACAAGAGCAGGCGGGAATATCTTGCCCCTAGCACCTGTGTCCCCCCCAGTGCCTTCTCTTCACTGTGCTAGCTACCCTGCATCACAGCATGGAAGAAAGTGTCTTGCTGGAATTGGGTCCAGGTGGGCTTAGCTGTACGTAGGAGGCAGCTCCTTCTTGGGCGTCTGTGCGGCAGCCAGGAACCCTGACTGAGTTCCTGGTACTCCTGGTGAAGGCCTTGACTGCCTGGTGGTGTAGTGTAGTGGGTTACCCTCAGGCCTTGAGTGTCCGGGATAAGTTTTGGGGTTCCCTACTGAGGAGGTTTGGGGCACATTTCTACTCCCCTGAACCTTGGTCTCCATAGTTGTATAGTGGGGACAGCAACAGCCCTTGAACATGGGCTGTCACATAAAGGCTGCCACAGCCATTGTAAGTGCTCAGTAGACTGGCAGATGGAATCACCGTGGTTGCTGGGTAGCTGATATGGGTGGGATTCAAGGGTTTGTCCACACCCACTGACTGCTGCAGTGGGTTGGGAGCCAGTACAGCTTGGGTCTCACCTCTCTCCCTGCTCCTCTCCTCTCTTTGGTAGGCATATGCTGACTACATCGGATTCATCCTCACCCTCAATGAAGGTGTGAAGGGGAAGAAGCTGAGCTTGGAGTATACAGCCTCCGAGGTGGGTGCGGGCAGCACAGCACAGCACAGCAGGCAATGCAGAGGGTGGGCCAGCCAAGCACACGTGTAGTCTGTGTTTTGCTGTCATAGCTCTCCTATTTTACATAATGGGGTTAAGGCAAATAGTTGAATAGGCTGCCTTGCTGCTTACTAGTATTTTGCTTGCTTTTTGGGGATTGAACCAGGCAGGGGTCTACCATGCAAACCCTACTACTGAGCTATGCTTCCAGCCCTAGTTTGTGTTTTATGTAACTTTTGAAATTAAAAAAGATGACATTGGGCTGGAGAGATGGCTCAGTGGTCTAAAGCACCTACTTGGAACAAGCTTGGCAAAACATCAGGGAGAGACCGCGGTTCGATCCCCCAGCACCACATGCCAGCCAGCCCCGCCCCCTGGTGGGCTGAGCCGGCCACACACACACACACACACACACACACACACACAATAAATGTTAATAAATAAATAAATAAATGCATACTGCTTTTAAAAAAAAAAAAAAGATGACATCCAGGTGTGGGTGTGCACACCTGTAATCCAGCACTCTTGAGAGGCTGAAACAGGAGGATTGAAAGTTTGAGCCCAGCCTAGGCAACTTGATGACTTATTAAGACCTTGCCTCAAAAAAAGGGTTAGAGACTTAGCTCCATGAGCAGGGGTTCAGTTACCAGTACCACAAAACCAAAACAAACAAAAAATACTCACGTTCCTGGAGGGATCATTAGTGACATATATGTCAATGAACAAAAAGTTGACTTCTCTGTTTTTCCTCACACCCAGCTCCCAGGCAGTCCTAGGGCTAGTACATGGCCCAGGACACCCGGAGCCTCTCCTTTGTTGTGGAGTGGGGCTGCCATTCCGAAGAGTCCTCTATGCACATCGGGGACCTTCTTTTCTGAGGGCTCTGCCTAAGAATGGCAGTGCCAAGTCAGGGCGTATACTTTTCTCCTACCTTTGGCTTCACGCTGCTGCTGTGTGCTTGTTGGTTCTTTGACCCAGGTTTGTTTGTGTAGAAAGAGCAGGAACCAGGGCAGCAGTGGAGCTGTTGGTCTTGTAAGCTGTTTGCTGTCAGAGTGTCATCTCCCAGGACTAGGTCCCAGTGGCGTCTGAGAGTCATAACCTAGTTGGACCAGAGCCACCTTAAACCTCTTACCTGAGACAAGGCCTGAGCCATCTCCCTGTGCCGGGCTACCTAGCCTCTAACTCTGCTCACTGGCTGCTTGCCCTGGCCCAGTTTCTCCACACGTCCCAGAGCCAGCGCTGCCTTGGCCGCCTGCTGTCCTGCTGCTGCTACCCCCACCTCTTCTTGGCCCACACTGGCTGCTGGTGGTCCTGGGCCTGTTCTGTCTACTGAGGGGAGCTGGGCCTGTGCTAGGGCCAGGCAGCTTCTCTGGGCACAGGTTAGCAGGGGAGGAGAAGGTTCTCCTGGGCCCTGTAGCAAAGGGTGCCCAAAGCTGTTCTCTGGGCTGGGCTGTCTTGGGGAGAGCTAATTATTTGGGAACGGTGTCATTACCCCAGCAAATGGCTGATTGCCAGGTGCCTTTTGGGTCCTTCAGTTGTGCCTGAGATTGTAGGATGTCCATTCTGCTCAGATGTTGTCTTCTCGAAAGTGCTGTTATTCTGGGAGGCTGGCGGCGTGCTTATGTGTTGGGCTTCAGGAATCAGGCTAACGGGGTTCACTGATATGCCACTTCTAAGCTAAGTGACCTTGTCCCATCAGACCCTGTGTCCTCATGTGTAGAGTGGGAACAGATGTATGGAGGTCCCACCTTAGAGAGTCCTACACGTCCCAGGGCCTGTACTCTTAGTTGGTCTTAGTGACCCTCAGTTCTGACCTTCAGCAGTGCTCTTGTCTCGGCTGGAAGTCTTCATCCAGTGCTTGTGTGCGACTGCTCCTCACTCAGAGTGACCAGTTTGATTTCCATGCCTCCCAGTTTCTGCCCACAGCTGTCAGGGGTAGCACCAGGCATGGCTCAGGGTACATGGTGGTGGCCAAAAGCAGAGCTCTCCTCTCCTACTGTGTGGTCCCCTCTGCCTCCAAGGCACTGATTGCAGCTGCAGCTCCAAAGGGGGCAAAATAGTGTAGCCCGGCATCTTCCATTCCCCAAAGTAGAGGACAAGCAGGGGTGTGAATGGTTGTCTTTACTGCTACTAGAAGCTCTTTGATTAGGCCTGCCTTATTCTTTGGAAGCTAATGTTGTCTCTTTTTTTTTTTTTTTTT